CGTTCTAATTGGGATCAAGAGGTTAACCAGCAGCACACTTCTCTTCTGGGTGGCCGTCCGTTCGGTAGATTTGTTCGGTAAAAAGTCAATCATACGCATGGGCTATAGAAACAGGCAATTTCCACGAAAGGAAGGCAAACCAGATGAATCCACAAATAATAATCATGCAGATGGGTCTGTCACACCGATAATAATAATAATAATAATATAACTCCTTCTCCCTCTGTATTTTAGTTCAGTTCAGGGAACTCTATTAATACTCAGTATTGCTAGAGCCTGTGTCTGGGTTCTATAGGCAGGAACTGGGGCTGTATCTGGGTTCTGGGGGTCGGACTATAGGCAGGAACTGGGGGCTGTGTCTGGGTTCTGGGGGTCAGACTATAGGCAGGAACTGGGGGCTGTGTCTGGGTTCTGGGGGTCAGACTATAGGCAGGAACTGGGGGCTGTGTCAGGGCTCTGGGGGTCAGACTATAGGCAGGAACTGGGGGCTGTGTCAGGGCTCTGGGGGTCAGACTATAGGCAGGAACTGGGGGCTGTGTCTGGGTTCTGGGGGTCAGACTATAGGCAGGAACTGGGGGCTGTGTCTGGGTTCTGGGGGTCAGACTATAGGCAGGAACTGGGGGCTGTGTTAGGGCTCTGGGGGTCGGACTATAGGCAGTAACTGGGGCCTGTGTCAGGGCTCTGGGGGTCGGACTAAAGGCAGGAACTGGGGACTGTGTCAGGGCTCTGGGGGTCAGACTGTAGCAGGCCCTGGGTGACCCGGCTGTAGACAGTTTTCTATATTGCAGCAGGAGATTGCATTTTTGAAGTCTGAGATTTGTAAATTATAAAATAAACAAACTCAGGCTGGAACTGTTGCTAAGCCACTGCCGCAGAGACGTACTAGGAAAGGCAGATGGATTACTGTAGGATCTGGTAGACTTAGAGATGTGGATAAAAGGCATATTGCACAGTCTGTTGCTCTACATAATTAATTTTCTGCACTTTCAGAGTGTAATAGTGTTATGGAGACATTCTCCGGCACCAGGTGTTGTGGAGACAGGCTCAGGCACTGAGGGTAGCTGTGTTATGGAGAC